GAAGTTTTACATCCCATTACGGCATAACGCGATAAATCGACGTTCGAAATGATCGCGACGGGAAATCGTTGCGCGCGTCGACAAAGTCAGACACTTCATTCTCGCGACACAAGTTCCCCAGGCTCGGCGTGCTCGCGCTCGCGCTCGAGCGAGGAAACTTCGCCGGCACGCTCGTCGATCGTAAGAGCCATGAGTGACGCGTAATTACTCGCATCCGAATAGCAGACAACTGGGATTGAAGGGTACTGAAGCTCGGAGTGACAGAGCGTGTCAAAGTTAAGCGCGTGGGTAGAAAAAGATCGTGACACTAATTGCTCGAAAATATAGGCTATCCTGGCACCGTCGACTCGCGGAAAACTCTCGCGTTTTAGCCGCGCGCGTGCTCATATGCATGACGCTGTAAAAAAAAAAAAAAAAAAAAATTTCGCTGTTCGAAAATTTGCTTAATCTTCGGAAACTTTCACCCTATCTTTCAGCGTCCGTTATTCAAAAAATTCGCGTAATCTTGAGATACGCGACCGTCGGTAAAAAGCAGGATCGACCAAAATATATGTCCTAATCCAATTTCCACGTCAGAACATTCCACGTTAGATCGCGGCCTATCATTTGTTTTTTTTTTTTTTTTTTTTTTTTTTTTTTTTTTTTTTTTTTTTCTGTAGAATTACGGTTATGGAGTCGTGCGATAAGGAAGCATCCCGATCGCATATGTAAAACCGTACTTTCCGCAAGATATCACCGATCGGTACGGACTGCCGACGCTGCCGCGTGACGCGACCGAAAATACGAATGCGCGTACGGAGGTGACATACGCACGTTTCCGGGTTCGCGCGAGTAATAATCTCTGTTTCCGAGCTGGTGACTGGTGCCTGTCGTCGACGCGCGGAGAGAGGTGACGTATGTACCCTAGACAAGTGAACGGTGGACGGCCGCAGGTAGAATTCGGTCGACGTTTTCTCGACGAGGTCTCGACCATCGGTTTCTTTCTTTCTCTCTCTCTCTCTCTCTTTCCTGCCCTTTCTTCTTCTCGTTTGTATTCGCGCACGAAATTTCGTTTCGCGCGATCGGAAAAAGCGCTCGAATCGCAATCTCCGTGAGATTCCGATAACCTCTTTCGTCCGCCGCCGAGAATTTCTACCATCTGCTGAAACCGCTGCCAATTTCGCGCCCGACGAGCGGCCGTTATCTATTTTCGGAGAATCGTGTCCGGTCGCGCGCCGACGAATCTCGGAAGGAGTCTCACGCCAGTTTTCGGCACGATTGGATATTTTCGAGGATTGCGTCGCGTGACGTCGATCACGGCTGACACGACGGATGATTACCGTGTCTAAACGTGCGAACAATTTGCGGTTGCATGTTGCATTAGATTATCTCTCTTCTCTCTCTCTCTCTCTTTCTCGCCTTATGTCTTAAGTTATGTTTTGTTTTTAGGAGCCAGTGCTGCAGAGAAAAAAGAACAAAGAACATTGGCATAGAAAAAGCTTTTATTTACTGACACTGTGGGTGGAAGTTTGAACATAGTGGGATATTTCCTTGTGAGAGTAAACAGAATATTTGAAGAATCTTAATTCCTGTGGCCAGGATGTCTGGAAATAATGATAGTTTTAATAATAATACCTGTGTGGTGTGCTACAAGAATGTTGATATCTACAGCATTGGCATGTGCGAACACCCTGTGTGTTACGAGTGTAGTACCAGGATGAGAGTGCTCTGTCGCCAAAACGAATGTCCCATTTGCCGGCAGGATTTGCCAAAGGTTGTGTTTACGAAAGAGATCAAACCCTTCCATAGTTTAACTATGACAAACCTGCTAGACACTCGATATGACATCTACTTTACTAGTCTTGATATCCAAGAAAAATTCACTGAATTATTAGCTAATACTTGTTCGATATGTAAGGAGAAGCTAGTATTTAGCAGTTTCAATAGTTTGAAAGATCATATGCGACAACGACACGAGCTGCATTATTGTGATCTGTGTGTAGAGAATTTAAAGGTAGGATTTGCATATATATAATGTTTTTATAATTATTAAATAAGTGAATAAATATCAATTTATGTGTGTGTGTGTATCAATATATACATCATACTTACAACTCCCTTTTATCTCTGAATAGATATTTTCGCGTGAAAGGCGTTGTTACACGAGGTCGAATCTAGCCACGCATCGGAGAAAAGGTGACATTGATGATAAGAGCCATAAAGGTCATCCGCTCTGCGAATTCTGCGATCAGCGATACATGGACAACGATGAGCTGTACCGGCATTTGAGACGCGACCATTTGTACTGTCATTTCTGTGACGCGGATGGTTTGCATCAGTATTACAGCTCGTATGACTATCTCAGAGATCATTTTCGGCAAGAGCACTATCTGTGTGAGGAAGGAGTATGTGCGGAGGAGAAATTTACGAGTGTTTTCCGAACCGATATAGATCTTAAGGCGCACAAGGCCAGCGTTCACGGCAAGCAGTTGAGTAAAGCTGCCGCTAAGCAAGCGAGAACATTAGAGTTGGAGTTTACTTTAGCGCCACGCAGCGAAAATCGAATGAATAGAAGGGGCATGGTGGGCGCGTCCACGTCGAGAAACACGAGGGATTACAACGGTAGAGATTATAGTTCAAGGGATTACCAACAAACCTCAATACCAAGCGGATCCAATTCGTTTGCGTCCAACAACGAACCTATCTTCACGAGACAACCTTCCGTGGATGTCCAGAGCACCGACGAGTTTCCCACGTTAGGTGGTAATGCCGCCACTCCTGTTGTTCCCACTTTGACTCAGACTAAGAGTAGAGGCAACGTGACCATTCGCAGCACTGTGAGGAATCAACCGCTCGCTGTAACAGACGAGAACTTTCCTGCGTTGGGCCTAGACTCGGCTGGTCCTGGTATCTCGAAAACGGTAAACTTCAGTGTCTCCAGCAGCAGTAATGCCTCGGGAGCCAGTGGCATAGCACAGTGTCAGAAAGCTTCCGCATCCTCGAATGTTTCTATTCAAGTGAACCACGAGCCCAACGGCACCGTTACTACCAGAGTGTCCGGACCCAACATTAGAATACGTCCCGCGCAATTATCGATAGATTCCGATTTCCCGGCCTTGGGTAATACCGAACCGTCTACCAGTACTGCCAATTCGACTCAGTGGAAGGAAGTTCTTCAGTGGACCTGTTCGAAATCGGCACCGGCCAACGCATCGGTGAAATCCAAGAAAGTCGCGCCGCCGCCCTCGATACCATCGCCACCGCCCATTCAGTCCGGCGAGGATTTTCCTAGTCTAATTTCTAAATCATCGAAATCGAAAAAGCAATCGATAATTACGGTAGTACCATCGTGGGGACAGAACTCGCAAAGTTCTAGCGCTAGCAACAATGTAAAAACGACAGATCAGACGAAGGGCAAAACGAAAAAGAAAAAAGCGAAACAGGTTTCGAGTGGTAACAGCTCAAGTGGAAACGAGTCTAATAGCTCTAAGTCGAATGTAAATACCGCAGCGAAAAAAGAAGTCGAATTGGCGCATGATTTGAATAATCGTCACTGTGTCGTGTCTAAAGAGGATACGCAAACCGTACAAGGCTCTAATAATGTCACAAGCAGCAAAAATTCATCCAATATTACGAGTGTGCAGAACTCGAAGGAGCCGGAGCACACAAATAAGAAGGACAAGAGAAAGAACAAAAGCTACGCGGACGGAAGTTCCGGCATTGCAACCGTTATAAATCTGGAATCTGGAAGTGGAAGCAATGCTACCTTAAACGGAGAAAAGCAACGAAAACGCAGTGAGCTCAAAATAGATAGTCTGAATACGACCAATAATAATATCTATAGGACGGAAGACTTTCCCGCTTTGGGTAGCACCAGCAATAGTAGCAGACCGCCGGGTTTCACGAATCCGCCTCCTGGTTTCGCTTCGTCGACTATGCCGCCACCCGGTTTCACCATCAAGTATAACAGCATCGACAAATTGCAGGGCAGCAACGGCTTGACGTTCACGAACAGCTCTGGCGAGAGCTACTCTATTTTACCGGATAACAGTAGCAGCAAGCACGCCGCCCAAGCTTATTACGTATCGCCACCAGATTTTCAGAAACGAAATACATGTCTGGTAGCAAAACTTAACGAGGTCCTTATCGAGCAAGACAAGATTGAGGAGTTTCGTTACGTGAGCGGTCTCTTTCGCGGAGGCACCTGCGACGCCCAAGAGTACTATACGCATTGTCGCGAAGTTATGGGCCCTGATGCCTTCGAGAGCGTATTCCCCGAGCTTTTGGTATTATTGCCGGACATCGTGAAGCAACAGGAATTGTTCAAGGTGCACAAGCAGGAAGTTGGTGGCAAAACGAAGGGACTGGAGATGTGCGCAACATGCGGCCAGATTCTCAAGAACGGCACGGACTTTAGAATGCATATGTCTAGTCATACGCTGGAGAATCACTTTCCGGCATTGGGTAATAAGAGCAATATGTCATCAGCAAAAAACACGTGGGTACGTAAATAAGTTGACACTCCTTCGTCAGTTGTCCATCGTTTTCCAAGACTTGTGCGACCCAGATGTCAGCACTGAAACCATTGTAAATATATCGCTTTTATTATTTTTATCATCATCCCGAGATAATTTTTATTGCGTATTGAGAGTTTATATCTTTATGCAAGAATAAGTGCGTAATATTTATTCCAAGAGTCAATCAATTCTCATTAATGTTAAAACGATTTATGCATAGAATTAATGCTGATTAGTCGTCATAGAATTGTTGAGTAAATTGTGAGACGATTGAAATAAAAAGAAAAAAAAGAATATACCAGAGGTTTTACAGACGGTTGTATTAATAATATAATGCTTCAAGACGCAATTGGCGTGATAAGAGAATGAGATAAATATTTTTTTTTTTTTTGTATAATAAACTCTTTATATGAAAAATAAGATATACTGAATACAAAAAAGTCTGTTAAAAGTGAATATGATAAGATACATGCATATATTATATATATAGTGACGAGGCGCACTGATGTTTCAACGATTGTCTATTTCTGTGCTCTATACTTTAAGACTTTAAGATACCTTGTGTACATAAAGTTCGTACAAAAAAAAGAGAAGAAAATAGAAGAGTTCCTTCTATAATTAATTTCATATATTTCTCGGAATATATATAGAGATGGAATAGATTGCTGTGGTATATATATATAAAAGAATAACACCATACATATTAACAAATTGTTTGATACATTATACAGTACTTGTAGTATTATTATACTGTTTTGTACTGTAATAAAGTTGTATATTCAGTTAACACGACAATACATAATTTTGATGAGCGAGCAAACAAGTGCTATTATATTTCGTAACCTGCTTTTTTCATCTAGTATCTGCCTATTTTTTTTTTGTTATTGAACATTAATGGAGAAAAGAAAACTGTCCATTTTTTTTTAACTTCACAAGGTGAAAAAACTGATTAACTTATATATCCTTTCTATATTTTCAGGGTTTATTGTGACTTTTAAACTCGCTGCTTACAGTTTTTAAATGTCTATTTTTATTAAAAATGAGAGTTGCAGCTCAAAAACCATCATTAAGTTTTATTTCTTTTCTTTTAATCAAGTACTTATCTATAAGCCTTATAAACTAGTAATTATTTATCTCAAAAATTTACTTATCTGTTAGAACAGGATAGAGTGCAAACGACCTGTGTATATAACATCACATAATACATCTCATTTCTAATGAATAGTATGGACGTAGATCAAAACATAAAAAATAAATTGTGATCCAATAATTTTTTCATATGTTTAATATAACATAAATAAATAAATTTTTCGCATTTAAATCTGTTGATAGAGACTTTGTCACTCGATGTATCAAAAACCAGAATTAGAATTGACCTAATGATAAGTATATATGAAGGAACTTAGAATTATGTACAACCTTTATGTATAATCTTATAAATGATGCAAGAACATCTATTATGTCTTAATGCTTTCACACATTTCTTTTCTGTGAAACAAGTTTTGCTTTTGGAACACATTTCACATGAATTTTACTGTACCTAAGAGGTAAAAAAGTCGACAGATCGTTCTAATCTTTTCTGTTTGCATTTGCATCAATTTCTGTAAGCAATTAAAATCACAGCGAATGTTAAACTGTACATGTGACTGGTACTATACTGTTATAGATGATACAATTTGATTGAAAATGGAAATTGCTGAGTGACTTTTGCCTATTCTACGTCCATATTGGATGAGTAAGTTGTCCTTAAGGATACCAGTGAGGAATACAGTGAGGCGCTATCACTTTTTGGCTAGCTCGTTACTCAACCAGTCCAGACCTTCGTACAATCCATGTCCCTGCGTGGCACAAGTACTCTGTATGTACCAATGACGTCCTCGCAATGAATTTAGGCCTAGCTTATCCGTGAGCTCGGCAGCAGTCATAGCATTGGGTAGATCTTGCTTGTTGGCGAACACCAATAGTACCGCGTCCCGTAACTCATCCTCCTTCAACATGTTTGCCAATTCGCGTTCCGCCTCGCCGATACGTTCGCGGTCGTTACTGTCTACCACGTAGATGAGACCCTGAGTATTTTGAAAGTAGTGCCTCCAAAGTGGCCGGATCTTGTCCTGACCACCCACGTCCCATACGGTGAAGCAGATATTCCTATACTCGACCGTCTCGACGTTAAAGCCGATCGTGGGTATGGTGGTGACAATCTCGCCGAGTTTCAATTTGTAAAGTATGGTGGTCTTACCGGCGGCGTCCAAACCCACCATCAATATCCGCATCTGCTTCTTGCCAAACAGCCGAGTGAGCAAACTGCTGATCGTGAGGCCCATCTTTTTCGCAATCGGAGCGCAAGCGGAGAAGCACTCAAGTCGCGCAGAATCTTCAAAAGGAAGTCGCTCGCCACGAAACCGACGATGACGAAATCTCGCGCTAGTTTGTGACAATACAATTTTCGACTTAATTTAGCTTTGTCCGCTTGTCGTAAAATATTTCATCCAGCTGACGTACACAGACAGACGTATCCCTCACCTCTCGCCCCGCCGACTTTGGCAGCAACACACCCAGCAAAACCACGGCAAACAGTAAACGTCACCTCGCGACCGGAGGCGCCAAGCCGCCGGAAATAGTTGGCAAGATTCGTCACACACGCCACGCTCGTACGTTCCAACTTGGGAAGCTGTCGATCAATTCTCGACGTTGGTATTCGCGGTTTACCTTTTCCGATCGAATATCGCTCTTATTCGGAGCTATTTCGCGTCAAAATCGCGGAAACCACCACGCAGAGAATGACAAAGCGCGGTTCCTGTTATCGCACGACGAGAAGTTAGTCGCGCTGTCGCGCATTGTCGCCAACTTCGTGCATTCATGACGCGCGCAATTTGAATAGAAAATGTATGCATGCTAATTTTTATTATCATCTTGTGTCATAATAAAATTAGTATTACACTCTGTTCCTTCTGCAGTCTTTTAACATTTAGTTTAGCGATTCTAACTGTATGGGAGTTCAAGTTTCAAACATTACTTAAAATTTTCTAAAAAAAAAATTTTTATCTTTTTTTTTATGGCCAATTCTCCTATCCAAGCCACTTGCTGAGAATCCCAGTACCGTATGATATCGTAAAAGATCATAATTTCTGAGCCTTGTTTATATATATTATAAATTTTTTTTGGACTCTTAATGATATAGAGCCTGAGAGACATAATTACGTACTTGTCAGTTCCCGATCTATATATGTTACTCGACCAAAACAAAAATGGTGGTCGACATGGAACTGCAAGAAGCTAAAGATGCTGTCCTTCAATTGATGAAGGATAAAGAAAATATTGAATCTAATCTGCGAGCGCTGAAGGAAATCTTAGATTCCGTATGTATTGCATATTATTTTACGCCGTATCGTGCACGCGCAAAAAGAATGACATTACTGTCAAGAAATACCAAGGTCGATGTGCAGCATGATTTGTCAATTTTTAAAGATTTTCTATATTTTCAATATAATAAATTGCAGAATCATGTCGGTATGGACGAGCCACTGGTGGACTCCGAAGGATTTCCCAGACAGGATATTGATGTTTATCAAGTGAGACACGCAAGGCACAAAATAATATGTGCGTAAATATATTTGTCGTTTTGGAGTAATGATTTTTGTGTGTATATATTTGAATCATGTTGCATTGTGGCAGGTCTCAGAAATGATCATAAAGCATTGATGAAAAAAATAGAGGAAGGATTGCACAAAATTCATGGTTTAGCAGGGGGAAGTGAAGCACAAGAGCCTGTATCCAATGTATCTGATATTCAGGAGACAGAAATGTTGGAGCCTTTCCTAAGAGTGAATTTGGTTTCACCTGGTTCACCAGCAGAAATCGCAGTATGTTATTGTATATGTTTTATATTCTTGCGTATGTACCCATATATTGGTCTAACTCATAGCTGAATTTATTATTACAATTTAATATATTTATTTGCTGCTAAAATTTGTACATTATTCAATATATTAAAAGTGAGAAATAACTTAACATTGGTTTTTCAGGGACTTCACGTCGAAGATCTGATATTGGAATTTGGATCCATTCATTGCCGAAACTTCAAATCTTTGACAGACATTGGAAAGTTAGTGGAAAATAGCAGATACAAGATAATCAATCTAAAAATCAAACGTGGATCCAATACCATAATTCTATCATTAACTCCACGCCCCTGGGTTGGCAAAGGTTTGTTAGGTTGCAATGTGATACCTCTAGAAATAGTTGAGAGATAAAATTACATCTAAACTAATGTAAACTATATGTAAAGCTACACAAACTATATTTTTATGTGTGTATCTTATTTAATAAATGCATCTTTGTAAGTTATTACTCTCTTAACATATATGTTATTATATATTATGTCCCATATATTATACTTTTGTAGGGTTAAGTAGATTCTAAATAGAACTTTGTATATTTATAGTACAATAATTAAAACTCATAAATAAAACTGTAGTTGATGTAGAATAATTAAAATTGGAATAATTATCTTATACACACAAGATATAATTCCAAATATTTTTATAATAATTTTTATCTTGTTAGTTACACACTTACATCTTTTGCATTTAAAATATGATAGATATACATATATATGTATGTGTGTGTTTAGACTTTTGAAAGTGGAAAAAGGATAAAGACACTAAAAAAGATAATATGCAGAAAACATTAAGTAAATTAAGACGATCAAATTTAGCATCTTATCAGCGTATCATAAGATTGTAATATCATCATCAGATATATCATTAGTAGTTCGCGGTACGGAAACCACATAAACGGAGTTTCGTCAAGATCCAGGAAGTGCTTTATATGTGTTTCGCGAAAGAAATGACGTCAGAAACGATGACACATCGATTCAATTGAATTCTATATAATAATGATATATAAAGAACATTTAAAAAAGCTGTGAAATAATTTATGCTAATATATACTTGGAGCGAGACGCTACCGCGTCTCTTTTGATGTTTTGATACAAAACAATTACGACCGCGTGTTTTATGACGGATTCGACTTTTACGAAATAACAATGCAGGCGATTGCATCATTTCGGCAATTACGATGTTTATCGAAATTTCATAGTACGGCGGTTCGATTGCATGCGCATCAGGTAAAATCAAGGATGACGTGTGATTACGTGCAGTGTGGAAACATGTGGAAAGATCGTAAAGACAAATCTCATCGGCGGGACCTTCATGCGTATGCGTGGGTGACGTCAGTGCCCGCGTGACCAACTTCGGTATATTCGCTCTTAATTTTTTGAGATTTTAAGATAAGATAAAAAATTATTTATGGAATTGTGCAAAGCGCATTTTATTGTTTTGACTTCATATTATTCCTTTTGACATTTTTCATTTCTTCGCGCGCGCAAGGAGTGCAATATTATTCTTATTGCAATGAGATATATACGTTACTGAAACTAAACTACTGCGCATGCGCGAATTTGTCCCACGATTCACGATCTTTCCATACTGTTACCGGCCCTTCGCTTTTCTAAGTTGCAACGTGGTGATGGTAATTGTTCCATAAGCGACGGAAGTCCACTAAAGAACTTTTCTAAAAGGAAGTGTGCACCCTGGAGCACACGTCTTCAGGGAAACCATGACGACGGAAGATGCGCAGGTTCAAGGTCGCGTATTAAACGGCGTTACCGAGGACGAGGATGTTGTGACACCATGGATAGTTACTAGTACCAATGATTCTGGAATTGATTATGACAAGTTAATTAGTAAGTTTCATTTTTGCGCGATGTATTTTACGATATTAAATAATTATTCTTAAAAGATATATGCAAAAATGTAAAAATCAGAAACGAATATTTGAAATTTCCCATGATTTTCCACTTTATAGGTTATATTCTTGACAAGTGTTTTTGACATATAATGAAGATTATATGCTTGAAACTCTTTATACGTTATTTATTTTTATATGTTTTTGTTTTTTCGTGCAGGAAAATTCGGAAGCTCCAAGATAGACGATGAACTGTTAGCTAGATTCGAAAATATTACTGGCAAGAAACCACATCATTTTCTCAGAAGAGGCATATTCTTTTCTCATAGGGATATGCACACTATTTTGAATCTTTACGAACAAGGAAAGCCTTTCTACCTGTACACAGGTAGAGGACCTAGTACCAATGCAATGCACCTGGGGCATCTCATACCCTTCATGTTCTGCAAATGGCTGCAAGATGTTTTCAATGTTCCTTTGGTCATACAGTTGACAGATGATGAGAAAGCTATATGGAAGAATATAAAGATAGAAGATGCTATTACACTGGCCTATGCCAATGCAAGGGATATTATCGCTTGTGGCTTCAAACCCGAGAAAACATTTATCTTCTCAAACTTAGAACACATAGGAAATAATCCGGTATTTTATCAAAACATGATCAGGATACAGAGAAGCGTCACATTCAATCAAGTAAAGGGCATTTTCGGATTCGGAGATAGCGATCCGATCGCAAAGATTGCGTTTCCACCGACACAAGCGGCGCCGGCTATTTCCAGCTCGTTTCCCTTCATTTTCAAGAATGCTAAGGTGAACTGTCTGATACCATGCGCTATCGATCAAGACCCGTATTTTCGTATGACGAGGGACGTGGCGCCTAAACTCGGTTTCCCCAAGCCGGCCTTGCTGCACTCGAGCTTCTTCCCGGCGTTACAGGGATCCAAGACGAAAATGTCGGCGAGCGACAACAACACGGCGATATTTCTCACAGATACTGCCAAGCAGATCAAGAACAAAATCAACAAGCATGCGTTCTCGGGTGGTCAGGCGACAGTGGAGGAGCACCGACAGCTTGGCGGTAACTGCGAGGTGGACATATCTTATCAGTGGCTGCGATTTTTCCTGGAGGACGACGAGCGACTAGAACAAATTAGAAAAGTTAGTTTTTATTCTGTTTTGATTCTTTCTTGATCTCAAATTAAGACTACAACGATTATATGGATAATATGTATCTTCCGTTTATTTTCAGGACTACACTAGTGGAAAAATCTTAACAGGCGAGTTGAAGAAGGAGATAATTGATATATTACAGCGTATTGTTGCCGCGCATCAAGAAACGAAAAGTAAAATAACGGACGAGGTGATCAAACAATTTATGATTCCTAGAGATCTCGGCTTTGTATCGAAAATGAAGTAACACGTACGCGTAATATGCACCGAATTATGCGAAACATTTTTTAAACTTATCCTACATTGTGGCTATTTATTTATTTATTGCAAAACGATTATTATATGCAAAGTATTATTACAAACGATTATTATAAAGTACATTCTATAATCTTTCGCGCATCCTTTTCGCATTATAAAAGATTAAATATTAATTTTTTTTATCTCAATCTGCCTTATTAAAAAATGATCTTATATTGCTTAGTGTAAATATTCTTTTGTAAAAAAAGATGTACAAATTTCTTGTGCAATTTTGAAGTTATTTTATAGGAATGCAAAACATATTTGCGACTCCTCACCAACAATTTTAAAAACACTAATCTTTCAATCAGCGCACTGTGAAATAGCGAAATAAAAATAAAAAAAAAAAAAAAAACATGTCAAAACAAAGGACTTCCAGCATTTTAATTCTTATTTACACGCATGCGTCGCGCGAGGGAAAACTTTTGTGAATCGCATAGATTCGCGAATGCCTCTCTGCCGTTCTACTTTCTCACGATTATTCGAAACTAGGTCGAGAGCAATAGTTTCCTCGGAACATCGCGCGCATTTTCACGTGCGAGAACACGCCCGCATGCGAGAAGATCAATGAGTTATTGCCTCAATCGCCGGACGAGCGCCGTTATATAGATAAAGCGAGCGATGCTTGAACAAACGCGGATTAATGGAGTGTATCTAGGTGTAATAACGTGTAATCCAATGACCCGTTGACGTTCTCGCCGTAGCGGAATTCCCATCGGTTATTAGCCGATCAATAAACTGATCCGATATACCGTATAATACGAACCGTGTGTGAAACGTATCCTTTGAAACGTTGGGCGCGATTCGCCGAATGTGATATTGCCGGATTGAGTGACGCGACGCTAATTAACGTCGTGGAATAATTATCGGTGATTGTGCAAAATTTATCGACCGGGAAAACGCTCGTTCGCGCGACATCACGATGAGTTAATTCTAGTATCGCGCGCGGTAAGAGTTAATTTTATCACACCGTGTGTGTGGCGTGGCTTATAAAACGAGATATCGGGCCACGGGCTTGAACGGAAATCGCGCGGCTCCGATTGGTGGACGGTGACGACCGCGCGCGGACCGCTATTAATAAACCGGCGCATGCGCGCCCCGCCGACCGCCGTGTGTATCCGCCATTCATGCGAGTCGATTTCGTTGTTTCTCTGTGTGTGCAGCAGCGGGCACGAGCAAAGCAAGCACTGGGCAAGCCTGAGCAAGCTTGAGCCTCAGCAAGTCTGAACAAGAGACGAACGAACTGGAACGAACGAGACGTGGTGTGACGGTGAATATATAATCGCGCGATTCGAGGAAACCATGATGCGAGCGTATTAGAGCTCTGGGAAGATATACTGCGACGTATTGCCGCGCGGTAAAGCAGCAACAGCACAAGCAGCAGTAGCAGTTTGTTGGAGGCACGCGACCCGTTTAGTACCTGAAGCGACGATGATACTCGGTCACGGTCCGCCGACGTAAGTTCTCCGCTCGGCTTGTACGAGCCAGCCGCGCGCGAGCCAGCGAGCGAGCAGCATAAACTATTTTAGTCGGCGAAAATTTGCCGTTGCCAAATAAGCGGTTCCTCGGGTCGTCGGGCAACCGCTGCGCGTTATCCGCCGATATCCGGACGATATCGCGCAAACCCTGTGACAAAACCCGTGCGCGGCGTACATATATCGCTGCTCTTGGTGACGCGTGGCGTAAGCGATAGATTTATATACTCACACCGGCGATAACGTACGCTGACGCTGACGCGTCCGCATGCATGCACGCACGCACGCACGCACGCACATTTTAAAAACGCGTCCGTTGTTTTTGCGGATGTCTTGCCGCGTGCGTGTAACGCGCTCGACTTGTCTCGCCTCGGCCTTTATCGTTTGAACCTCGTACTCGTAATAAAATTTGCTCGACCCGCGTTATCGATATATTGTTGTCATCGACGAATAGCGTTCGAATTTCTTCCAAGATCGTTTTATAAAACACGCAACGTATAGTTAGTTTATTTCATCTGCTGAGACCTTGTCGAAAACGCAATTCGTAGATTTTATAATTTTATTGTGACAATAATATTTTCAATTTTTTTTTAGGTGAAAACGAAACACAAGTGCCATTTTCAAGATCATCAGGAATGATGCTGATCAAATAATAGAGCAAAGAACAAATTAATCATAATTCAACAAATATCTGCTAAGTAATATGGGGGCATTTTTGGATACTCCGAAAACAGAGAAGTGTAACGAACATGGCACTGGCAATGGCTTGCGGTATGGCGTCGCCAGTATGCAGGGCTGGCGGATGGAAATGGAAGATGCTCATAGAGCAATTCCCTGTTTAGAGGGTAGTCTTTCAGATTGGAGTTACTTTGCAGTGTTTGATGGCCATGCGGGTGCATTAGTATCGGCACATAGTGCGGAGCATTTACTGGAATGTATAATGCAAACAGAGGAATTTAAGGCCGAGGATGTTATCCAAGGAATTCATTCCGGGTTTCTCAGACTCGACGACGAAATGAGAGATTTACCCGAGATGAGTTCTGGCACGGACAAATCCGGTTCTACAGCAGTGTGTGCATTTATATCGCCCAAAAATATCTATATCGCCAACTGCGGCGATTCTCGGGCTGTACTCTGTAGATCTGGAATTCCAGTCTTCTCGACGCGGGATCACAAGCCCGTCTTACCTGCCGAAAAGGAGAGAATTCAGAATGCAGGTGGTAGCGTAATGATCCAAAGAGTTAACGGATCTCTGGCTGTTTCCCGAGCGTTGGGCGATTATGAGTACAAAAATCTAAAAGATCGAGGCCCTTGTGAGCAATTAGTGTCGCCAGAACCCGAAATATTCGTGCGAGATAGGGACGATGAACACGACGAGTTTTTAGTTTTAGCATGTGATGGCATTTGGGATGTAATGAACAACGAAGATTTATGTAACTTTATACATTCAAGACTGCTACTAACTGACGATTTAGAAGCAGTTACCAATCTGGTTGTAGACACCTGTCTTTATAAGGTATATACTATTATATGTTTTATACATTTTATGTATTAATTAATTTGTGTAATTAAAGTAGCTTGTTATTCTATCGAACTGATAAATTAATTTATTTTAAGAAATATAACAAGGTTTTTGTAAGTTTAAAATAATATCAAATCATAGTGCTTTTGAATTATCAAATAATGCAGACTCATCTTTTTTTATCATGTATATATATGCCAACCCATATTTTTTTACAATTGCAATCTGAAGATTACACAAAAGATAAATATTGCATTACAATAATTTTTTTGTAACAATTACAACGTTTTTTATACAAGGATATATTTAGGCAAATCTGAAACTTGATTACAGGGTAGCAGAGATAATATGAGCATAGTTCTGGTGACGTTCCCGGCTGCGCCAAAACCAAATCCCGAAGCACAGAGACAGGAGGCAGAGTTGGAAATGGCTATAGCAAGGAGAATTAAAGGTTCTTTAACTTTTCCATATTTCAATTCATTATATTCTTTCTGTTGTTGCATTAATTCAAGATCACAATGCCATACGCATCACAAACGTGATATAATAAATTAATATTTTATTAGTGTATATTGTAAGTATATAATGACAAATTCTTCTTGATGCATATTTAATAGAAACATGCAGAACTGTGAAGAATTTGATTAGTGCCAAATTGTAAAGAAGGATTTTCTTTAAGAGAAAGAAAATTTTGTAAAGACATTACTATTATCGTGAAACTTATATGAAAAATCTATTTTTAGCAACATAAATTCCCTTTTATTCTTAGAAAATCGTAAAACTGTGAATATTGCAGTTTAACACAATTAAAAGAATAGAAAGAGACAGAGAGAGAGAGAGAGAGAGAGAGAGAGACCAATATATACTATAACGATAAGACAAATGATTTTAAATAGTGCAATAGATTGCAATTCATAAATACTTCTAACTAAATGTTATAGTAGATACTTAAAACTAGAGATTAGCAGAAAAATAATAGTATAATGGTATTATTAGAAAAATCACATTATTATCACTGATACTTGCTTTGTCATGTATTATTAGAGGTGATGTGTAGCATATTTCAAAAATTAATATAAACATTCAAAACAGAATAATATTTTCGACGTCTTATAGATGCTTTAATCTAATCTAGTCTGATTAAGATCTCATTTTTAGAATAATCTGACATTTACAATCTGCATATCATATATGCCATAAGATACTACTAGTCATTATAAAATAATCTTTTACAAAAGATAGATTTTACAAAAAATATTTTTCGATGTCTTCAAATGCACAGCAGTAATAACAATTTGAATTTTTGAAAACATTGATACACACATTAACTTTAATGGTCATTTTAAAACATGTAAATGTTAAGGCTTGCACAATCAGTTGCACCAACTATATGTAACAATAACCACGCGATATGTGATTCCCTTTTCTTAACACATTGCACTTTGTGATTAATAAATTTAATGTCTTGTGTGAGAGATCTGCCACATGAGGAAACACTTATAAAATAATGTTGATGTCTTATATCATCTTGTGTGTTGATAAAAAAAGTGCATATCTGTTTTACCTTAGTGACTTTTATCATGTTGCATCTGGTTTTTTCTTTTTTATTTTATTTTATTTTATTTTATTTGTTTCTCATCTTTTTCTTAATATAAATATCTTATCAAATTTTTTGAAAAAATTATATGTTTAGAATTTAGAGTATATGATACATATATAATACAAGAACAGATGCAATTATATATCCATATACGTAAAGAAATCTTTGTTTTCTCAGATCTCGTTATTAAAATTGTGTATGACTAATATAGCATACATGTTTTAAACCTACTAACTAGTGCTAAGTGTAAACAGATATGAGAGCTGTTATTGAGAGTACTAAATGATATTGTAAAACATTTGTTTTCTAAATATTAATGCTGCTATGAAAATACATAAATATTATAAAGCCTTTAAAGTTATGAGTACAATTGTGTGTCATGTATATGATAATATAAAAATATTATTAAAAAAAGGCAAATTTATATACATATAAAGAGTATTTACAATGTTTCATCAAACTATTTTATAATAACTTTACTTATTCCACACATGGTTGATTAAAAGTGTTGCATCAATGTTATATTTATGAATAGCGCATAAAAATTTGTGAAGTTTTACAATAAAATTCTCATGTAGGAAGGCTTACTGTAAAATTACACAAATTTTTGCGCTCTATTTATAATCAAATTAAATCTATGTGTTTCATAATTCTTTTGAAGACAAGAAATTAGTTTGTACCACAAAATAAGTATACATTATTTTGTCATGTATAATGGCATAAATTATTAATAAACATAATGTGAAATTATTATTGCTGAGAGATGTGTTCCACCCTTGGAGTTGATAAATTAATCTAAAATTAAATATATATATATATATATATACATCTAAGCAGAAACTGCGTTATATATAAGAGAAAGTTGTTTTTCTTGTTTTATGTATTCCTCTTTTTAAAGTTCACCTAAACCATAAGGTAGGTGCAAATTTTCTTACAAGAATCTTTAACATTGTCTATATATTACATACTTTTGATATCTCTTTTTTATAACAATGCATTTCTTATGGAGGAACATAGTAAAAAAAAGTGTTTTCTCTTTTCTTCTTTTTTTTAATTAATACCCACAATAACATACAATTCCAGAGGTGGACAATGTGTACATCATACTGACTTTGTTAAAGGCTCGTCTAAAATGTATCTACTTAAGACAAGAGTATATTTCCATAAGAAATGTAGTGTACATAATTTACTCTTCCAGTCCTAAGTAGATGCATGTACACGATACTGTTATATTACATGTACATTTCGATATCTGTTAATTATTTCATAGTTAATTGTCATCTCTGAAAGCATCTTGACAAAAATTGCATGTATGAGAATTATTATATAATATTTATTATTAGTATTATATCACATAATATTAGCGTATACAAGCATAGTTTACATTTTTCTTACACAGATTGTCTCATTTATTCTGTACTTTAAATTTAGATATTTTATTAATAGAAATAAAAATGCGCACAACACTTATAATCACACATGAATGCATTAAATGATGGCAGTTCTAATAGAAAACAGATAATTAACTACATTTATAGAAAATTTGAATTATAAATATTGTCTCACTGTACATCAAGCGCACTTTGTTAAGCATTTATTCGTATAACAGCTGTTAAAATTGCACACAATTACATTATTATGTTATTGATATTTTGTGTGATATTTAATATGAATTTAATATTTTTCTAATGATGAGAATTATATATATACCTTATATAATTTTTTTTTTTTTTTATTTGTAGAAATAGTCGCCCAAGAGGAGGATAAGAATGAATTTGACTATCTAAAAATGCTTGAACTGCTTAGAGGAAGCGACCAAGATTTTCCTTACCTACCTCCAGGTGGTGGTCTTCATGCTAAGTGAGTAACATTTCAGTAGTATTAAAGCAATTTTTTAAAACAATGTACATATAGTCGTAATATTTTCAACTGATATAAACTCTCATACATCAATTCTCATATAGTCTATTATTGTTAAATGTTTTTGTTTAGTTTTTTTGTATAATTAAAAATATAATTTTAATAATAGAAAAAATTAGTCATACTTACATAACACACACACAAATACACAATTATTTTCAAAGACTCGCTATATATATATATAATATCAAAAAAAAAATATATATATATTTTTTTTTTAAATATGTATGTATATATATATGTATATATTTTGAAATATATATTTAGCATTTCTTTATGGGAAAAAATGATAATAAATTTTTATCTCTGTGAGATCACTTTAATGTCAGTGTTACTACTACCAAATACAACAGATTCAACAGTCTTCCACCAATTTGGCTAGATTCCAGAATATAATTAGATTTCTGTCGTGAGAGTCCAATAATTTTATATTCGACCTTGTCTAAATGCATTTGAGTACATATGTTAGTATTTATATGCAATCTTAAAGATTTCATAACGATATAAAATGACATAATCTTATTCTTTTCTTTTGCAGGCAACCCTTCATCGAGAAAGTGTTTCGGGAATTATGTCCCAATAAAGCGTATAGTGTAAGTGTTGGATACATCCCTTTGACATAACTAACCCTCGAGATCTTTTTCTATACTGCATCAAATGTACAATTACATAATAATAAGACATGTTCCATATTCATATAAAGATGCAGAGAACTTACCAAGAACACATTTATTTGAATAGTAATCCATAAGGAAATCCTATCAGTAAAAGAAAAAAAATTACAATGTTGTTCTATAAAGTCGTGAGTCTCTTGACAGAATTAAGTTTGTCATAAGATATATAATTAGTAGATCTTTAAAGTAAACCACGATTGGCAACATAAATTTGTGCGTAAATTAATTAAATATTCAGTAAATTTTTATAAAATATTACATATACTTTTTTGTAAGAGTGTTTCTCTATATTGTTTGTTTAAAGAGACTCACATGCTATATACATAAAAATTTTCTTATCCTTTGTAAGTACTTTAGTAATCGCGACAGCTCTGTTAAAACAGTTTCTGGGAGTATATATTTATCTAAAGGATATATTTCTGTCAAAGATCATAAAGTTTAATTGCGTTAGAGGAAGAAGTATGGCTGAAACTTAAGTTCTGTATTGATAGCGAACATGCTTACTTAACTAAGTTCTATTACTTTGTGCAAATTATTGATTTGCAGAATAAGCCAGTTAATAATTTTAATGGAATAATAGTACAAGTGAAATATCAATTACAGGGGACTAAGGATAATTATAAATGTCTATCTTTATATTTAATTTTAATCCACACACACTATTATTCTGAATAATATTTTATTTAGAGCATGAAAGAAAGTGTCGAACAAACCAAACACCTTACATGCAGATACACGAAAATGTTTTTATAACTGATGGCATATTTCGAGAGAAAATATAAAGTAGATCGTTATATAGATCATTTATATATAATCTCAATTAGTCAATGACCTTTTTTCATCATTTAACTATTTTCCTTTTTATATATAATTATCACTATATTGCTGTGGATTTTATAAATTTCTTTTTTATTCAGGGAGTAAAATGTTTGTATATTACAGTTATAAGCACACAGAGGGTTAAACAGATGCTACATTAAAAATTAGATGTACAAGCTCTGGAATAAAAATGGAAAATTAGATGATATAGAAAATAATGAAGGTGTAAGTGTGTTTTTTTTTTTAAATATAAATATGTAAAAAAAAATGTAGAGAGCATAATATGTTACTATGTATGCATTTATTTGAAGAGATATTTTAAAAGGATGGTATTCCCATAAATATTTAATCACTGTAAAATTTGCACAATAGAATAACTACTATACATTTTATACCGCTTGAATAGCTCTTTCACATATGCGAACCAAATTTAACATTATCTTCATCAAGAATGTACTTTTCTCAACAACGTGTACAAAATCTTCTGTATTACAATACATACGTGATACATCATGAAGCGAGACTTTTATGAGAACTTAATAAGATTTTGGTAGAATATTTCTGTCATACCCTCTTGCCATGTTGATAAAAAGTGCATAATATTGCTATATATAATTATATATTTTTGTAGATCTAGGAAATATTAGCGCTCTCAAAATATATATTTACTTCTCTGTGATCGGTATTTCCTACTCTTCATTTATGATCAGTTCTAAATGTTTATGGAACTATCAATTCAGTACATACACTTTCATGCAGAATAGAGAAGAGTAGGAGAAAACTGATCGTTTAGTTTTAAAATTATCGGTCCTGTATATACACAAAAAAATTCTGTCTGAGAAATTGTGTTGTACTGATATTTTCTTCAAGTAATTTAAAAGAGATGAACCTATATATATATATATATATATATATATATAAAGCTTAGCAAGGAGGCCTTGAGTCTAGTTTCCTATAATATATTTTATAAATTCTATATAATTTGGCTACTTTGTATCGCAATAGATCAAAAGATATATCAGTTTTTAATTAGACTTTTATATTTAAATATACATGAAATAATAGATTTAATAACAGCTTATAAAACGTATTGTTTAATGTTTATTATTTAATTATTGTGTATAACGTAAATTTGAAAATATAATAAATATATTATCAAACATTGTATACAATTCAGTCATAATAGTAACAGAGTAAAAAGATAAAACAATACAAATCCCATGTTTTAGCGTTAATGCATATATAGTATATATGAGTAAATAAATAGCTTTGTGAACAATGGAATAACGCATATCAATCATTAACTCATTTATGTATGACTTTTATAATCATTCTCCATACATTTATAGGAACACACATTCTTCGAAAAAAAAAAAAAAAAAAATGGAAACTATACATCAAGGCCATCCTCATATATACGATGAAGTATACTTGTACCAAAGTATATTACCGTTTCTAGTTATGAAAAGGAATATCCTGAAACTAACAAAGTTAACACACAATCTCTATTATTGTTTTAAAGTAATATATATTAGAAATAAAAATATAAATCTTATGCACAGAGGAATGAATTAACTCTATTTTTACTAACAATGTCTCACTAAAAAAAAAAAAATGGAAATGTGAAGATGCTACTATATCTCGCTGATATACTTTCAACTGTTTATTTCATATCTAATCGATAGGGCGTGGAAGTTCATGAGGTTTCACATGATGACTCTTCTTAGGCGGATGCTACTGAGACGCATCGAGGTGTGGTATAATCTCCATGTTTAATTATTTTCGGGGGATCTAAACAACACATCTCCCAATCACTATTATTAACGTCAACAAAAGCAACGCATCTTGGATTATCCGAATAGGATGGCTCATCGTTAAAAGCTCAACGAATTTTCGCGCCTTGATAAAAAGATGTCATTTCTTAATTTTATCATGTAAAATTAGATGATTATTAGATTCTCACAGAATTGTGAATTGCAGATATAAGTAAAGCTTTATAAGTTTCTAAAGTAATTGAAATTTAGCTAGAAACATTATAGAGTATTTAGATTACGAATTTATTAAAAAAAATAGTTTGATAGCTAAGTATCTCTCCTTTTGCTGAGCTTTTGTGCCTCATCTAGTGACAATGGCATAACGCCCGTATTAATGGTATGTGTTTCTAATTCATATTGCAAAAGATCTGTAGAACTTACAGGTACTATGCTTTTAAATGAAGGATTAAATATACTTGATGGAAAAACAATCTTAATTTGATAGCAATTTTTACAAACAATATTGGTCATTTACACAGTATTAATAGTATTAATGTAAGCTACTTATTTCGTAGAAATTTGGATTAGAATTTTAACATGAGCTATCATTTTCTGTGTAGTAATAAACTTTTTTTAAAAAAAAAAAATGGAAATGTGAAGATGCTACTATATCTCGCTGATATACTTTCAACTGTTTATTTCATATCTAATCGATAGGGCGTGGAAGTTCATGAGGTTTCACATGATGACTCTTCTTAGGCGGATGCTACTGAGACGCATCGAGGTGTGGTATAATCTCCATGTTTAATTATTTTCGGGGGATCTAAACAACACATCTCCCAATCACTATTATTAACGTCAACAAAAGCAACGCATCTTGGATTATCCGAATAGGATGGCTCATCGTTAAAAGCTCAACGAATTTTCGCGCCTTGATAAAAAGATGTCATTTCTTAATTTTATCATGTAAAATTAGATGATTATTAGATTCTCACAGAATTGTGAATTGCAGATATAAGTAAAGCTTTATAAGTTTCTAAAGTAATTGAAATTTAGCTAGAAACATTATAGAGTATTTAGATTACGAATTTATTAAAAAAAATAGTTTGATAGCTAAGTATCTCTCCTTTTGCTGAGCTTTTGTGCCTCATCTAGTGACAATGGCATAACGCCCGTATTAATGGTATGTGTTTCTAATTCATATTGCAAAAGATCTGTAGAACTTACAGGTACTATGCTTTTAAATGAAGGATTAAATATACTTGATGGAAAAACAATCTTAATTTGATAGCAATTTTTACAAACAATATTGGTCATTTACACAGTATTAATAGTATTAATGTAAGCTACTTATTTCGTAGAAATTTGGATTAGAATTTTAACATGAGCTATCATTTTCTGTGTAGTAATAAACTTTTTTTACATATATAGTCCTATTCTGCACATCGAATATAATACACATTATTGAGCTAAGTATTTCATGAAATTTAAAAGTATAACAATTACACAAATGAAATGGCAAATGTTCTTTACTGTTATATATGTAAAGAAACCTATGTGATTTGTACTTAGTATGTTTACATACTTTCTCAATTTGTTATTTAATATATCGTTTACTATATATTTCGATATATTTGTACTCCACAGAATAGGACTATTAAAATAAAAGTTGTGTAAAATATATGTCTTCATAAAAACGAAAAAGTAGTATTTTATTAATCTCACTGTTACGTAGAATTATATGTATTAATTAAGTTCAGTTGATATAACATTGTAATAGAGGGATAATATATGATTACACTAACTTATTTTATTGTGATTTTATATATATAATTACAAATTTTGTTATCGAGAAATTGTTTTAACGTCATATATCCTACTATTACAATCATTATTATCGTCATATCATTTTTTGCCCTAATTATGTTCACATAGATGTTTAATCCCTTTTGCAGAATTTAATATCGGATAAATAACATTCTTCTCATAATATTCTAAGTATATAATTAAAGTGCTTTACACAAATGCTAGACAATCCACAACACTTGACAAAGAAAAAAATCTTTTTTTAAATTTCTATTTTCAATTATATGATTCCTCCCGTTATCGAACAATATCATTATTCAATGATGATTATTCATTAGAATCAGAAAATTAAAAATTTAAGAAATTTAATATAGATATTGGTCACAATTTTAATACCCTATTATTATTCGACATTATATTCTTTTATGTTTTATAAATAAAAAAAGATGTACGCGATTTTTTTATTGATATATTTTTGATATAATATATCAAATATATTTTCTATATTACGACATTACATAAAATTTTTTCTGTATGACTGCCAAATCAGTTATCCTTTTTTAAGATATCTAATATGAATGAAAAATATATGTATATCTAGAAACATAGATAATGTGTGACTATTGCTATCTTTATCATATTCAAATCTCTTCAGAAAGATGTCTGTGTGCAAAAATTAAAATAGTATATAATGATGTGCTTACAGAAATCACAGAGCAGTTAGTGTGTACAGTATACGATTTCATACACGTAAAATTGCAATAGACTGGCCAGTCCGAAAGTGATGAAAATGAGATATCTATCATCAAGAGAGTCATAGCGGAGTGCTGCAGAGACTGCAGAATGGTAATTGAATAATGAAACGTAGTTTATATTATTCAAAAATTATGATACTATATCTCTAGTAAATACACATTGTACAAAGTATTTCTTTTTAACGAAAGAAAATGACGAGATTTGAAAAATTTTTTAAAATCACATCAGATATATAATTTTTAATGTTTTTATATATATGAGTGCACACACAAAATATCTTCAATATGTGTCCAATTTTTATAAAGTTTTATTAGCCTGTCAGCAGATGATGATAGTAGATGGATATAGAGTTATTCTTTATTGTTAAATTAGAAATGTATCGTCCGTAAAATTAAAGAGACTATTCCAGATTTGATATGTGTATTTCTCTTTTTGTGAAAGTATATGTATGTATAACTTATATTTCCTCAATTATTTTAAAAGTTTAGACTCTTGTCTTATTGTTAAACATAGCATAATTTAAATATATAAGCGTGAATATTTATTATATAACTGTAGAAATCGATCCATATATATGTTCAATTGATATTGCTGTACACGATTATGTGCATAACAAACTCCAAAGAACGTAGTTAATTTTTTTTTGTATTATATTTGGTTATATTGCACTTCTTACACGGTCAAAACAATTTTATTCTATCGTAAATAAAAATAAACTTTTTTGCTTTTTATATAAAAATAAAAAGTGATGCCTATGTATATATTCCTTTTTCCTTTTATATCAGACATTTATTTGTTTTGCCACACTCCTACTTCTTGAAACTGCTTTATTAGCTCATCGTTTATCATGTTTTTATTATCAATTAGTGTTTAGTGGTAGAACATTTTATTTATGTTATAGATGTATATATTGAATACAATATACTACAAAGATTACTTTTACATATTTATTCCAAAATATTGAAGAAGATACAAAAGATCTCTAAAATAGTATGGATATTACTATTATGGATATATTTAAAAAGTACGAGATTTCTTATATTCATATTGATATTACTTAAATTACAGCAATAATAAAAAAAAGAACAGATTCTAGTTTATTCGAGGTATCACAATGTATCTTTGTTCAGATAAAACATAGCCATTTTATGAGATAATAAGATAAAATATATTCGGTCACATACGCACACCCACATACGTATGCAATATATACTTATGTGCTATTTTTAACATATTTTATTATTATACATTTACAAAAGTGCAATTTAAATTGTTGCGCTGTAAAACTTATCTAGTCCAATTTAAGCGTCTAATCTGAAATGTATTCTGGTAACGCCTTTTTAATGTTATATGCAAGCAGTATGATTACATTAAAAAATAATATTAGGTATATATACACATCATTAAATTAGATATACAATTGTTTGCTAAATTATATATGTAGATAAATTCATGTCTGTCAACATTCTAATATATTATGTGATTTGTAAAATGCTTTTCCTATCTGTCATATGTGTTGTAAAATTCTATAACATTATTTAGAAAATTGGATATAAGTATAAGAAAATTATGTAATATTATAATGAATAAGTCTATTTATCTATCCATAACGCCTTCTTTTTCGTATATTTCCACTCTTATAGTTCCTAAAAAATAACTTATAAGAAATTTCAATATTTGATAATACAAATGCTGCATAAAAAGCATTTTTATCATAATTATGAAATGGATTATGTTTATGTTTGTATTGAGAGATTTCAATTGTCAATAAATTAACCACCTTCATCTTGGCCTTTTCCGCAATGTTAAATGGCTTGATATAAGTTACTATTTTCTTATCTAAAAAATGTGAAGCTTAATTCAATGCACTGTACAAAAATAAAATGAAATTATTGTAGACTGATTGGGCTTAATTAATTTAGTATTATTTTAACTACCTATTTTGTAGAATTGTGTGCTAGAATGTCTAGTGAATGATCATATATTCCACATTGACCACAATATTATTTACACACTATGCTCTCATTTCAATATACTTAATGTAATTGAATCCAATTAATGTGCTTTATAATACTTGTCCCTTATGTTATTAAGTATGAAATGTTTAACAAATCTTATTTTTATGTTATATGGTAGAAAATATAAACAATGTTACACAATAGTCACCCATAATAAGTAATATAATGGATGTCCAGATTATCCACACAGTAATACCAAAATATTTCAGTATTCACATTTGATGTATATTAAATAAATATATTAATTTTAATTTCATATTATTTAATAAAGAATATATTATGTTATTGCAATTGAAGCTCTTTGTTGCCAAAGATTGCAAAATATTGGATACAATCTCACAAGATGCTCAAAGATCATATGTTATACAACCAGATGCTGATATCGGCTACATTAAAAACGGATTTTCCGAAATATAAAAAATGTTATATTAATAACATATTTTTAATACAGAGAAGTATATCTCTTTTATATGGATATATAATCACATCAAATGCGGTGAGCATAGAAAAGGCAGTCATTGCACACTCTCATATATTCTACCATAATCAATTCTATAAGAATATATAATGGACATTTTATATTTCAATGCACCACAGATAATAGTTTAGATTGTGATATATTAAAGTGGATGTTTATGGTAAATACAAAGCAGGATGTATATTAATTAGCATGGATATATATATATATATATATATATATCCATGCTAATTAATATACATCCTGCTTTGTATTTACCATAAACATCCACTTTAATATATCACAATCTAAACTATTATCTGTGGTGCATTGAAATATAAAATGTCCATAAATTTATATTAAACAGTCGTATATATTTACTACTTTCCTCAGCTATTTACTTTAGTTTTGAATTAAGTTAGATATTTCAGATCTAACAAAATCGGTGTCACAGCATACATTTGAACTACTTTAAATGTCATGTGTAAGTCAGGAAAAGTCATATAATATTATAATATATAATATTCACATCCTGCTTTTGTATTATATCTGCTCTCTCTTCTCCATGACATATAAATATTATTATATAAATACCACTTCACATTGTATCTGTTTTCAAGCATTTCCCCCGAATTTCTATTCTCTCTTTGATTTGAAGAATTTGAAATATATAATAAGAACATATATACAGATAGCTTATTGTTGATTGAAAGATAAAAATTATTTATTAGTCCAACCTCGCCAAATCGAGGCGATACTGGCTGCTGCACTTGTTACCAAGCCACCAGCGACACTCTGATGCACTTGCATACTAGAAGCTTGCTGACTAATCATTGCACCAGAAGTAGGTACTGCCATTTCGGGACAAACGATACTTGGTACCTATTTATACATATAATGCCGTGAATATAAACACCTCGTAATTATATGTTCTATTCTTTGCAATCTGTTATATAGAGTGTATATAACTTACAGAAGTATGACTTACAGCTTCCCATCCCCAACACAGATCTTCTTCATCGGAAGCTGAATCATCACTATTCTCCAAATCAGGAATTAATTGACTATGAAGTTGTGCTATTATGGATGGATCGACTTCCATTGGTCCAATTCTGTAATATGCAGTATATGAACATATCGCAGTTAATAAAAATTTACAAATTTTACACAAATTTACATTGTGCTGCTATATTTTTAAGAATGAAGTAAAATTATTATTATGAATTACCTTCCAAGATCACTAATTTCGGTATTGAGCAAATGCATCAGGTTTTGCAATGTATGCATGGGATGTAAAACTTCTATATCGGTATTTTGTGTAAAACATAAATGTAATACATTACTATTTAGCCTTGCTACTTTTCTAGCAAATTTTTGGTCCGACAATTCATTTCCACAAAACTCTCTGAAAAAACATAGTAAAAAGATGAAGAAAAGCTTTTAGATATTTTATGTTGTAAATATTTAAGGTGTGTTTATCCATTGTGTGGTTATCCATGTTTACATTATTTAGAACTGATAAAAATTGATGCCTAGATAAAAAATCATATAGCATTTAATAAATATATCCACACAAGTTAATATATGCAACTAGCTTATATAATTCTTTCTTAATAATACTTACCCACAGGTAACCTTGTACGGTAATCTTACATTAACATAATAGGCAAGAACGTTAACCAATTGCGTAGCGTAAGTTAAAGCAGCACTAATATTATATGCTGGATTGTGCATCGCATTTTCCTTGTTTGCACTAGGCACACCATCTTTATTTGCTGCAACTAAAGAAACATATTTATATTTGTATGCAATGTCATTAATCAAGGGGAATAATCAAATAAAATTATATAAAATAAATTAAAATAAAATTACCCCAAAGAGAATAAGCACTATAATCTCCCATTGCTGGCAATGTTGGTTCAACTATACAATGATGAATTTCTAAAGAATTTTCTTTCTCACTTATCCATCTGCCACGCACATACGATGTACCTGATGCATCCGCCAATGCGCTAGTAACAATGTCCGAAGTGGTACTGTCACTATCCTCACTGCTGCACAAACTATAAATAAAATCTATAACATTAGCATATATTTCAAAAGAATACATTCTTAGCAAATAATTTTATGTAAGCTTTAATAAAAAAGACAATCATATTTTAGAATATTTTTGTAAAGATAAATGTAATACCTTTTATTCGGCTGGACCTTAGATAATGGAAAAATGTATTGAATTAATTGCTTGGCAGCAGTTCTGATAACTTTTTTTAATTGCTCCCTTTTTCTATCCACAGCTTCTTTCTGTTTTTCTTGTTTAGCTTTCAAACCATTAACATAGCGATGTAGTTTCTCTATTCTGTCCTCGTGTCTTGGCACTCGCAGAGTCAACTGAGAGTTGACATCTTTTAGAATGTTCAAACGTTGATTACCTATAATATAACAAAATTAAGTAATTATTACAATAGAAATATTTAGCAAAAATATCATCAATTAATGAGACTCACCTCTATTGATGCTCTGCTTTGTCTCATTTACTAAAGACTGAAGTAGTCTCACTCTTTCTTTACATACATTTATATCACAAATCTGAAATTAAATAATTGAAGTATGAAATGTTGCATTACCAAGTTAATCTGTCATACGAAGAAGATATTTCAATTGACATGAAAACGCATACATATGTTCAAATTATATGACAAAAATGTCTTTAACTACTTTTATTTAATTATTTAAAAAAAAAAACCAACTTCCTGCGAGAAACTTCTTTATGGTCATACTTTAAAACATATGCGTATCTATAGGCAATAATCCATTGTCCTTTTATATATGGATAGATGTTAATTCAGAACTTAAGATCACACATTTCTTATTTTTACACACAGTACCAGCTTATCTCTTTGTTTATGCCTCTCAAGAGCCTTGATACACTTTTCCTCCAATTGAGCTCTAGCAGCTTTCAGTCGTACGAGCCGCATCTGCTTATCCGCGAACCTAAATAACATCATCAATAATTATAACTACAGCCAGTGCCTATTTCAAAGCGACGTCGCTACTATGCGACATCGTCCGTATTCTTAAAAAAGCGCTCCGAAAATTCTACGAAATCAATCTAATTCGATCGCGCTTTAAAACGTAAAACGAGAAACGAATTGCCTCGTCACGAAATAGCAAAAAGTGGCCAAACCCACCGTTCCGAGTAGACGGTGTTCGAGTGTATAAAATCACCGTTTTGGACGCACTGACGGCAATAAAAAATCCGACGGCTGTTATGGCACAACGGGCACTTGAGCAGATTCATGCTCAGACGACTCGACGCATCTTCCAGCTCGGACGAGAGCTGAAAGTCCGCGGGAGCCGTGCAGGAGCCGTCGGAGCTACTCGTCGCCATAACCAAAGCTAACGACAGCAGCAACGAGAAAACTATTAGCCTTCCAGCTCGTCCACCGACTGGCTTGTGTTGTGTTGTGCCTCATCAGCTGATTCTCTGTTATATACTCGCGCGCCGCCGCCGTTCCTCTTTGCACGATGCTCTTTGTCGTGTTCTCTCCTTCTCTATTACTTTCTGCTAAGGCCTATATCCTTTCTCTCTCGTACTCATGTTACGCGCGCTAGATATCCGCGATTATCGTGCACGCGCGATTGTCGTTCAACCACCTCAAGAGCGATCTCGAATCCCATTCTGCGTCGTATGTCACTGCTAATCTCTTTATTTTTATCTTCTTCTTTGTCAAAAGTATGTCCGTTCATGAGATACGGTATCGTTCTCCTTCTCTCGCTTTTATCTTACTTCCTCTTTCTAACTTCCCATTTTTCTCAATTCTGCATATTTATTTTCGCTTATTAAGTAGTTATTGCTAAACGAAGAACAGCTTTCGATGATATATCGAAGAATGTTGGACCAATCAGATGTCTGTCACTTAGTGTAATGAGTTTTGAAAGCTTTTTGACGTCGAATCCGTCGAATGCGAAATCTGAATGTGCGTATTCCAATATTGCGTTTGACTAGAATAGAATTGGAAGTTGTCCAACGATTCACGCTAACGGAGCGTGCTCGATCGAAATAAGAACCGCGGAGACAAAAACGCGTTTGACGCGAAACGTCAGCACGCGAAAATGGCGCGAAAAATAAACTATAAACTATAAAGCATAGGATGCGTTCGCGAAGCACGCTTTTAGCGCTATGAGCGTGCTCTGTCCTTGTTCAACTTTTAGTAAATAACAAAGACAGAACTACGCTTTTAGCGCGTAAGCGTGTTCCTTGAATGCAACCATAGATCTTATAAGATATACAAGATCCATGCTGCTTGTGAATAAGTGTACCGATAGCAAGATTTAGAACGAACTCAACAGCTGATGCCGAAAACATGGCGAAGTTGACCCATGCCGTGTGGGGTCTATCTTCAAACTTTACAGCAAATCGGTATTTTTCTCGATTATTAACGTGAGTAAAATTTAAATTTTTTTCGTTGTCATGTATTTAATTTTACATACCGCGAAATAGTTTTACATAATATATAATTCTTTATACTCCTTTTGTGTGTGCTCCGAAAATTTGACAGAGTATTTACAAATATATATATCGTGATTCTAATAAAAATTATATGTATAATTAATATTAAATTAAAAAACAATCACAGTACATATATATAATAATATTAAAAAATGTATGATATATTTATAGTCCATGGTATAATATATCTGTCACGTCATCTCGAGAAATGTCAACAAATGCTGCTGTCAAAGCTGAAGATGCTTTAATTATCAGTGACAGTTGTGTAAAGCGCTTGAAGGAAATAGCAAGCAATGGCACATGTTTGAGAGTTACAGTGGAAGGCGGTGGTTGTTCTGGATTTCAATACAAGTTTGATTTAGATTCAAACATACAAGAGGATGACAAGTATGTATCATAAATGTTTAATGTGTAAATAATGATGATAAAAATATTTTTTTTTTTTTTGTATTACAGAGTATTTCAGAAGGATGGTACTAAAATAATTATAGACTCGACGTCGTTAGAATATGTGAAGGGATCAACAATAGAATTCCACACAGAATTGATACGATCTGCCTTTAGGATAACAAATAATCCGTTAGCTGAACAGGGATGCAGTTGTGGTGCTAGCTTTGCTATTAAAGTGGAGTAAATAATTATAAATGTATTTATTTATATTAAATATTGGCTAATAAATTATAGTTTATAATATAATATTTAAACTTTGTAAACCATACTGAGAAGATCAATTATATTTTATTTATATAATCAATACACACAAAGCAATACATATAATTGCTTTGGCTTATACATTAATTTTATCACAACACCTACCATAAACAGTAGCTGTACATATTTCTTATATCTCTTTTAATACAGTAAAGAATAGATTACAATTTACAATTGCAAGTGTCAGTTTATACATGCCTGTTTTATATAAATGATATTAATAATATATATAAAGCTTTTTATCATTATTAAAGAATTTAAATTGTACAAATTATTCTATACACAGTTGGTTACTGTAAATAAGTATGAGCAAATAAGAATCGTTGCACATATATAACATAGAAGAAAAATTAGACTTATAACATAAGCGTTTATAAAAAAACATTGTCGCTAAGTTTTTATTTTTATTTCATAAATAATGCGTAACATCGAGTTAGAGAGCTCTTTATCGCGCGACCTGAAGATACGAAGTATGGACAAAAATTCATAAATCTCTGCGTTAGTAGATACGAGCTGTATATATATATATATATATATATACATGACAAATTATTTATCAATGATCGATTAAATTATACTGTGTTGATGGAATGTCAATGATTGTTCTTTGCAATTCTGATCTGGATCACTTTTGTTTGCCTTTCTTACTATTCTGAAAAATTACGTCTTTGATTAAATGCTCTTACAAGATTACTATACTATATCTTACTATATCTTTGTGTATCTTGTGCACACATTTTTACCTTATTAGCTAGTTCAAATTTCAATTGCTGTATCTCCTCTGTTTGGCAGATAAGTTTTTCATTCATGTTGGCAAGATGTTCGCTCATGGTATTGAGTTGTAACTTATAATTTCCTTCTTGCATTTCTTTCTCCTTTTGTAAACCATTATAATTAGAAAGTGTCTCTAATAGTGCTGTTTCGCATTTCTCTCTCTTTGATTCACTTGTATCTAATTGCACATGCATAACTTCGTTCTAAAATACAAGAACAAATATGTACATATAACATATTATATGACAAAAATATCCATTTACTGTAAATAAGATTTAAAATATATCTTATTACATTAGCAGCCATAGCTAAATTTTTTATGTGACAGATGTATTTTTCGTTTGTTAATCTTTCAATTTCTTCTAGAAAATAATCCCTAATCTTTAATTCACGAGCTTCGATTTCTTCTGGTAATGCAAAAGGTACACTCAACTTGCCAATCTGTTAACAATATAAATAATCTATAATTATAAATACAAGATATATATATATATATATATCTTAAGAATAGAATAATATATATAATAATACCATATTATTTATAATATAAATAATCTATAAATATAAATACAAGATATATATATATATATATATATCTTAAGAATAGAATAATATATATAATAATACCATATTATTTATTTTCACAGGTTTCAATGTATCATTATCAATGTGAGAAGTTGCTTCAGCTTTTTTTTGTTCCAATTCATCATATTTTATCTTGACTATATGATATTGAGTTTTCCAGTAATTAATTTCTTTCTCTAAGTCACATGATTTTGCATACAAAAATTCATTACTTTCTTCTTGTGGCTTTTGCGGCTTTCCTTCTCCAAGTGATTTTGATGATCTACGCGAAGCAGATGGTGAAGAGAATGGCGATGGCTCTGTTTGACGATGATTTGAGAGTATTCCTCTCGCATCAAAATCATAACCATCGCGTCTACCTTCATTGCTGGACCACGATACAGTTTCCTCTTGTTTCTGTCTGTCGTTTAACTTCCTCTGCAAGTCGTTTCTCTCTCTTTCTAACTTATCTACAGTGCTTTGATACTGGCATTCCGATTCTATTTTAGACTTTTCGCTATAATCAACTTTATATTCTAATTGCTGTATTCTCTCGTACAAACTTTCAATTTCACTATCTTTATCACTAATCTGTGACAATAATTGAGCATTCTCCACTATCTTCTTCTGAAATTCTTCGTCTAAGATATTGTTTGGTGGCACTGGAGGAATTTGACTATTGTTTTCTGGCACTTTGCTTTTACTCTTCTTAGATTTATTTTGTGCCTTGTCAAGTTCCTCCTGCAATACAGTTATACGCTTTGTCAATTGCTGGTTACGAAAGGTCAAACTGTCTATTTCCTGGTCAGCTCTACGGAGTTCCACTTCTCTCTCTTTCAAATGATTCCGAATATCCGTATTACGTGCTTGTTCCTCTATCACAGCCTTTTTCAGAACATTCGCTTGCGCACGAATCTGCAAATAAAATCACTTTCTTTGTGCAAACAACTATAAATAAATAAAAACGTAGAGGACAGGGAAGAGAGTGAAATATTGAAAAAAGCGACGATGTAAAAAATCTATTACGAGAATGCTGTTTACTTTTGAGTATTCCGCGGCAATTTTCTGATACTTTGTCTGCAGCTGACCGTTGACACCCTCCATACCTTCCTATCCCCAACCTATACCTCTCGTTAACGCGCCCCGTCTATTCCGCTGCGTATTATTATTGATGACACCCGGACATCCTTCACGAGATTTTCGGATATTGTGCTCGCATCGCCGGGACACGCATCGCGCATTTCTGATCGGTGTCGATGTCGGTGTAGTATTGTCGGCTTATCGACTGGTCGATCTCGGCACAATTATGGTAAAATCGCGCGATCGGCGAAATCGTATCCCGCACTCCATCCAACACGAAATGCGAAATGCGGCCTCGTAAGAAGTGCACACACTCTAAACGCATTAGTATTCGTGCAATCCAATAAAACGCCCCCAACCACGATACGCGTTCTATCGAATCATACACCGAGCCGAGCCCAGCGTGCGAGTCGTGCGACGTGAAGTTAACGTCACTTGTCAAGAACGTGCGCGCCAGGCGAACGTATGCATGCATGTATATGTATGTATGTATGTGTGTACTTTCAAATGAATCGGACGATTCGCCGATTGCTATCTTGTCGGGAATTACGTTATTGCGCAATGAACGATAAACATGCGAGAGATAAGAATCCAAACTTCAAACGGAATGACAGGTATGTATTTATGATGAGGATCATATATATGGTCAACAAGACTTTCTCAATTTCCTCGTGAGATAACGACGAGAATTCAAAAATATGTAGTCACTTTTATTTGTGCCGCTAATATGGATCGTTCGATTTATATTTACACTATTGATATTGATATTTTTCTTATTTGTTTATGTCGCATAAAAGATTATCGTGTATCTTATTTATGTGGATCTCTTTCCAATTTTATCAATGAAACATAATCATTATTATTCGTATAACAAGACATTTTTTTATGCGCAATTCTTTGTTCTCACATATATTATTACCTAAAGAAGAAGAGAAAGAACTCTATAAAAATCTATTTATTATTAATGCAATTATACATATAATAGATAAGAATCTATAATTCTCTTTGATTTAATGTATAATTTTTATTAATATTAGTTTTATCTAATTCACACACCGCACATATCCATTTGTTTTTGCAGGCGCATAGTATTATTGAGTTATCTTTTATCATAAGCATATGTATTAGTTTGATCTACAAATATATAGCGCGTGTAATATTAAATAAAATTTAATATATAATTAATTTATATATCATCATTGTACATATATTTACCGAGGCATATCGATAATCGCGCGAGTTACGTGACCGACCGTGCGATAATCTAATATTGAAACTGACCGCTAGATAGCGCGTAAGGTATAGTTGTGCATTTCAAGATGGTGATATTGACAAAGTTCAGTGTACGTTTGAATTATTTATCTTTCCCTCGCGTGCGTTTTCTTGATATCGCGAAACAATCGAATTAACGTTGAACACTTTCGGGCAAATATATATATTATGTGTTTCTATAATCGGTTTGTCGAATCGTATAATGAGAGGCAACGAGGCAGCGATCGTTCTGGATATTTTACAAGGTAACGAATGATACGACTTTGAATGACGTCAAACCTAACGTCTAACGTACAATATATACGTTTGCGGTGAGAATTCAGAATTTTATCAAAATAGAGATATATATGCATAAATCTGAGTAACCGTGGATACCGTATAAATACAGATTTACATATATGCTTTTATTTCTCTCTTTCTCTCTCTCTCTCTCTTTCGTTTGGCACGAAAATCAGATTTTGTCGCGAATGCGCGATGATACGAGTCAAAATGTTAAAACGCCACGCTCGCGTTTACATTTTTTGTTTCCCTCCTTTCGCTCCCAGCGCGCCTATTATTTTCGTTTCTTTTTCAGCGAAGAAGGACGCGACGTATTTGTCGGCGGATACAGCGGGTCTTCCATCCTGGCTACCCTTCTCCCCGCCTCCCCTCTCAACGCGCCTCTATATCCACCGAGTACAACTCCGTTCGCCGGAAGTAAGGATCTCGTCGAAGGAGAGTCAGCAGTTACGAGGGTGAGTCGTCCTAGTTTTCTTTTCTCTTTCCTCTCCTTCGTCTCCTTGCATCCGCGCCGAGATACGTTTACGTATATCTTACGCATTAGTCACGCTCGTTGGAGCCTCTTTCTTAGGGAATCTTCATCCCGAACGCGTACCGCATTAAATAGCTCGCCGTATCCTCCCCCTCCCGTCACCGTATTACGGGAGTGTGCGTGTATTACGCACCGTTGCTGTAATCCGTGTAATTTGCATGATCATCGGCGAAAATATTTTCATCTCTTCTTGATTAGCGTGGAAAAACACGGCGCTAAAACATCGCGAGATTTTTAATTAGAAAGAAATATCAGTTTAATGAAGTTGTTAAAGATTCGTAAAAACGTTACGTTACGTTTATATGTTGTAATTTTATTATTTTATCTGACATGTTCGACTCTCTATTTTTTTAATACCCGTTATCTCAGTATAATTCACACACATATATTTTATATTTTATTTTTCATATATTTACTAAAAAGATTTTCTATAATTCAGTTTTAAATATTGAAACAAGAGAAATATTTAGGGGAATAAGTTTAAATCTGAAGAATAATAATATCTTGCACACGCTGCTTCTAACACATTCAACCATATTAAAAAATTATTTTGGAAATATCTCTATTATTTAAGAAAATAGCTAATAAACACAATCCGTTTTCCGTGAATATTTTAATTAAAGTTTACCAAGTACATTCTCAGTTAACTGATTCTCTAGAATTTTTTTTTTTTTTTTTTTTTTCCATTGCGTCGCACAAAGTTACGCTTGAAAGCAAGTAATTCCATCTGACGTTATGTTAAAGAGAAAAATTTAAATACCACTGGCCTTCTTCGGTTACACACGCTGTACGTTGGCTTTCAGTTACATACGTTTTACAAAAAAGCACGTAATGACGCGACCGATATCCTGAGTGAGAAGCGCGTTCGGACAAAGTTTATAGCGGCGCGATTTTTACGGTGATTATATTACAAACAGAGTGGAAAGAGTCGTTTCGGCACAACGGAGCGGTGAAAAGCGGACTCGGTGCGATACACGGTATCGGCAAGAGTGTGTGTCGTCATCGAGAGTTCGTATATCAAGCCAGATCGGTGAGAACAAAAAGATTTCCGGAAGTAGTTGAAGTACACAGTACTGAGAGGAGAAACCGCCGCTTGCTCACTTGCTCGACCGCGAACGTTTTGAACCCCTTTTAACCCGACATCGAGGAATTTACAATCGCGAAAAGGGGCGAGTCGGAGAGAGTCGCGTGACCTAAAACTCCGGGGCAGGATAAGGAAAAGCCGGGCGAACGTCGGAAAGTAGTGGTACGCCCGGAGGCAAAGAAGCAACGAAGTACGAGATAGGAAATAGCTGAAACACTCCCTTGGCCTTCGTTCTCTCTCCTTTGGAGAATTTAATCTTTTTCCCCCCGCCCTGTGAGAGGAATACGGGAATTTTTTTAACCGGAATTTTTTTTCTTCACGAAACTTTACCGCATTGTTCTTTTCCCGTTTGCAAGCTAACCGTACGTTAATGTTGTGCGCGTACAGGCGCGTCGCGAAATTACAACTTTTACTTTCATGGAATTTTTGAAGATGATTCAGAGAAAAAGATGGCAGACACTTGTAACGATATAACGGATTTTGCACCTATAATTTAGACTATTTACATTGGTATTTTTAAATGCAAATGTTTTACATATATTTTATATTTTATATACATGTATATAATATATATATGTATTGTCTCATGTTACACGGGTTATACTACAATATATGATTTAATATTAACAATATATCTAATTATCGCATTTTTTCTTGATTCTATTTTTAGAATTTGTGATTTGGAAAAATGTATAATTTATAACATATCGTGGATATACGATCGCTTTAAGTATTCTGTTCTTGGTTTGTGCACTAATGGTCCATCGCAACTACATTCGTTGTACTTCTTTTCATCCTTACTTTTTTATCTCTCGCTGTAATATTTCCCCCCCTCGTGCGCCACAGACTCACTGTTTGTATCTCGTTATCTAACTATTTGGTTATGATTTGATAGCGCATCCTTAGAACATTGCAAATACTCAAGGATTGTCGGAGAGAATTGAAAAATTCTCGAGAGAAATGAAACGAACGAAAATAATAGCAAATGAAATTTATTACTCTCAATAAAAGTTTAAACTGGGAAATAATTATCTTTTTTGAATTGCTCTTGAAAAGATTTATAATAATCATTTTTTACAGCAATTTAAAGCATGTAAGTATTACAGTAGTCAAAATAGACCTGTGAATAGAGACGAAAACAGCAGAAAAGATTAAGACGCAAATCGCAAATAAAGTAGCAGAGGTCGCGAGCAATCTGATATTTTTAAATATTTATGTCATAAAATTTCAATGCATATTTCGCGGATTTAGGCCATGGCCTACATTTTTTGCAGTCTGTTTCTTTTCTCGTGCTCTCGCATACAAGGACATATTAGCGACAGGCGCAAGAGGCTGATGAATCAATAATATTCTATATAAGTTTAACGTTCTCGATACATCTCTGGCGCGGATCACATAAAAGTCGCGGATACCCATACATATGTACAGATCTCGAAAGCAGATCTCGTGCAAACACGTTTCGATCGCTTTTTTTTTTCGTGCGTCGTCAATTTCAGGGCCAGGTAGCGATCGGAATAAGGACGGGAGAAAATAGTCCCGGTCCTCATCTGCGAAGTGCTTTCGTCGTATACCTGGGCTCCTGAAGTTCCACGTCCGGCAGTCTCGTGTGTGTACGTGCCCCAGGTGGTTGTCTCAAATAACACCACCTAAAGCGAGTAACTCGATGCCGGGAGATCCTGCGGGTGTTTGAACATAGATTGCGTTACGCGCGCGCGTGCTCCATGTATGCCCACACGTTTTTAGATTATCACGCGTTCTTGTATCGTGTATAGAAAGCGAAAACTAGTTTTCGATTTCCATAAGAAATGTTTCGTATGAATAGAAAATTTTTTTGAAAAAAGAAAATCTCTTCTTTTCACAGGATAAGAATTAAATAAGTTTATTATTTATACGGTCCATCTGTGAGAGATGTGACCTGACTTATCTCACATTCTGACATTGAATATTCTCATGTCTTTGCATGCCTTGAATCATACGATATTAGGTCAATTCGTTTTTGTTTCAATTATATTTGAATAAGAAATTTTAAATTAATGAGTTTTTATGGAAAGTGGACAAGTTGTGGGAAAATGATGATGCGCTTTTGCCGTTTTCTCTGTATTCGCACTGAAATACATTCGTGTTCGAAAGGGTGAGACTACGAACTCACGAATAAACCGACGATAAATAAAACAACAGCTGGAGAAAACGAGGGACGTCTTTGATTTTCTAATGGAATTTCAAAGCCGCTCTCCGGGAATTTTCATTGATTCCCGTTGAACCGTTACCGGTTTCCCGGCGAAGGAGTGGATGTAAAGACGCCTTCCTAGGTCAGGTTAGGTAAAGGTAACGGGGACGAAAGAGAAATTAGAGCACCGAGTTCCGGCGCACACGATCGTTCTTCGTCGTTGTCGTCCTCGTCGTCGTCGTCGTCGTCGTCGTCGCTTTTCGTCGAGCGGAGCTTTGTAATTTTAATTATTTCATTAGTGGAAATCCTGCGAATATACAAAGAAAGGAAGGAACCGGAGGTGGGGTTTCTCGCGGGCATTTCTCTCACGCCTAGAGGAATTCGTTCGTCGTTGTCGCTGCTTCTATTTTTCTTCTGTCGTTCTTTCTTTTTCATCGCTTCTCTTCTACGTCTCTCCTTCTTTCACCTCCGGATTTTCACTGACTTTATCTATTCAATGGATAATGTTCGCGTCGCTCTTTATTCGCGATTAGTCTTCAAACGTGTCGTGAGCAATTAAATTGATATATTTTCTGTGAGAAAATTAATTTCAAATTTACAAATCTATTCCATCTATTGATTTTAATGACAGATTCTTTAACGAAAAAGGGAATTGGAATAAGGCGGATTCTATTCGATTGAATAGGATTGCCATTTTAATCGAATTATTAATTTAACTATTAAATAAGACCCGAATTAAAATTTTATTGAAGTAAAGTTATTTTAAGGTAAAGGCATTTTAAATTGATTGCAAAGATTACAGATTCGTTATTTGATATTTTTTATTCGGAAACTTAATACACCAGAAGCCCCTTATTTTTAATCGGTAATTACTCGAAAAGAGCGTAACTTGATACCTTGATATTTTCCTTATAGAAAAAGAGATTTCGAATTCATGAGAAAATTTGTTATTAAAATGAAATAGAAAGTCGGGTATTGCAGAGAGCTTTCCACTTCAGAGAGATACACATCGAATTGATCATCTCCGTGGAATTCACCTCCGTCCTCGTGAATTCGCGCCGAATGACAGCAAGTTGCGATGACGGTTATCGCGGCGAAACGATCGTCGCAGATGCATCGTTGTCGTGACATTAGTCCGTAATAAAGCATGACGCGGATAATCCAATACAGGACATACGTAACAAGGGTCGAGCGTTTCTCGCAGTGCGCGCGGCGCGTGGTAATTTAGGTACCATTGCCTTGGTCAATGGCCAATTCCTATTTTGGCTCGTCTCCAAGGGGACAGGCAAACCAACGTCCGCAAAGGTAAAAGGGTATGGTTACAGTATCCGCCGAGATTTTGCTATTTCATTATCGATCTCTAATCTCTTCTTCTTGCGTAAAAATTTGCGGTCCGAATCGTCGTTGAGTTATTAATCTGTTGCGATTTTCTTTTCCTTCACATCTCTCTCCTCTCTCATCTATCCACTCGGGGATCTTTTCGTTGCTTATGCAGAGTGCCATTCGACTCGCTTCCTTTCACCATAGTCTCGTAACGGTCCTGAAACGCTCCGGATAAATCGCATTCGAGAGCCCTCTTTAATCCGGTCGCGAGGGCACGCCGCACCGAGTGCACCGTAAAATTTGTAATCGGTGCGAGCATTGTCGCCTTGAGTACCGTTCGTGATAAGAA